GGCTCGAGGGACGACGGAGCGTTTCAGTAGTAAACACCAGTTGGCGTAAGACAGTGTCGGATGGCTGTCATCGGTCAGCGGTCGCTACCACGGTACGTAGTGTGTGTACGATCAGGCGGTGATGTGTGTACGCTGTCCGCGTGTGTATCTACGCTCGTTCCTTAAGGAACAGTTCGCACGAGTGTTCGTGCATTCGAACGTGCTTGCGTGCGTACGTACGTACAGAAACCTATTCGCCCTCGTGTTTTAGAGTGCTCGTGACAACGCGTTGTTACAATCGTGGCATTGCCCAGTACGTTCATCGAAAGTGCACGCCGTTGTTACGTTTGCACATTCAACTCGACGTTGCACCTGTTTTCTTTGGTCCTGGTGTCGTTCACCGAGGCGTCTGGTCGCCCCACCGTCCTCACTTCCTGTCTATCGTAAGTGAGCATTCAATTTCCTAGTAACCAATTGAAAATCCAAACGACCGAACAAAATTTCGTGATTTATGTTTTGGACTGTCAATTTTGTTTTATGATATTATCGTACGCATGTGGGATGTTGGTTCAGAGCTTTTTAATCAAATCTACTTGTACGTGTGAAATACATCGATCTTCTCGATGGCATACGACTGTTTTGGTAAGTGCCAAATAAGGATTGGAATTGGCATTGCATCGAAAGAGAATTATTCGCGATTGAAAGCTGCTTCCTACACCTGCTGCATGCAGTTAGGTTTTAATGGACAATCGGTAGAAGACATCTACGAATCGATCTCAATTTCTCGGATCATCGATCGCTTGAAATCGATTCGCCGATTGCGTTCGCCGCTTACAGTGCATCGTTATTTTCGTTGCATAATTATTGTCCCTTTTTTTTCCGGTGATGAAATCGATGAACCGTGCCAATGTATAGTTCTTTCGATTTCAGTCGCTCTTACACTAATTTCGGCATCGTTATATGCTCTTGCTCGATCGATTGGCAAACTATCTTTCTTCGAGTCTATCGATATCAAGAGTTCATTCCACTGTACAAATTTCACGTAATTTCTTAATATTACTTCGAGGCTAACGCACAAAAATTCGCGAATGTTGAAGATGCGCTTGCGCATCTTATATCTTAGTTATCTGACACGCGGATAGACCTAATCTATGGCCAGAAATTATCTTCGATTTCGATTATTATGACCACCAAACGAGGTGCTCACAGACCAAATTGGTTAACCCCACTTTTTGAAATTTTTCAAATTTTAATACCAAAGCGCTTGATTGCTGCTTATCTTGTATGATTTCATCAGTTTATCGTATATAGTTTCATCAATTTTCTCTATTGTTTGCTTCGTGGAGTTAATCGATTTGACAAATGAGCGGCCCGATTATTCCATTCTATTAAAATAAGATCAACGTGTGATTTGCTTCTTAGTCAGTGGGATTTATCGAGATAAGGAACCATTCGCATTCACGTCGAACGTGAACGCATCTCCACGGTCATAAACGATAAATCGTGCAAAAGGGTGGTGCTTTCGTCCAAAATCAAACTCGAGAGTGTTCTTTGGTCCATGGTGGCAATAATTTTAATCCTGCTGCTAGGTGCGTTCTACCATCTTTTCTACGTTTCATGATATTACATTTTGGCTTAAAGAGGATGTTCCTCTGCGGAGGAACTCTTACTACATCGGTCGAGATTGCGAAAACTGTATTTGATGCCATACATCGATGTTTTCTAAGAGTGCAACCATGCATTTCTTCCGCTGACTAGTACAGAAAAGATATATCTTTGTTCGAGAATCTCGCATGGTTATGATACATACATATAGAAACGAACCGAAACACGCGATCGTAATACTTCGTGCACACGTGCGAATATATGGTCACATAGAACGATACAATTTCTTTAATCGACTAAACGGAATTTAAGTCGTTGACGTAGTATTGTTATTGAATGTCAAACCTGCTGACTCGTTAATTCAAAGTCCCCATGGATAGTATTTGCCGGTGATAGAATCAAATCGAATAAGCTTTCATAGATACGGATCAAATTCAATATCTAATGTTCTCTTCACAGGGTTCGAATAATTATTCGCAACTGTTTTGAACGAACGCTTATCGGTGTAATGATAACGAATCATCGAACGCAGTGGACGTTTCGTGTATTAATATTAATCACGTATGAATGTTATCAAAGTATGTAAATTATTGAATTAATGGTAAACTAGTGGTCCATAGTGTTATACTTGTTTTCTTTTAGATTTTTCATATGAAATTCTAATTAAAACCTTATCCATGGTATATTAAGATTAAATACACGATTGCTCGGTATTAATTGGTTTTTTTAATATTATTTCTGGAATTGATCACGATGGACTATCCGGTACGGAGGAATCTTCCTTATCTTGTTTATATTTAATTAAGAAAACACGCTGCTACGATACTGGATAATACTTACACACGTCAATCTGTTCGTCGCACGTTAATTTTTAAAAATAAACTGCGATGTGACTTTATTTGCGACGTACCTGAACTCGCCACTAATATTCGACGATTTTCGTCATGTCTTTACGTATCAATTTATGTGGTGCAATTTATCGTTGAATACGAATACGACAGATCGAGGGCGTGCGAATGTCGTACACAGTTATTTCCTCTACGGTTTTGTTCTTCCTTCCATCTTTTCTTTTTCATCATTTCCTGGGCGTGACAACCGGTCGATTCGCAGAGCTACGCACAAAGGAAACGTTATTTTTAATTTCAATGACATTACGCAACCTATAATTTGTATCGATTTTGCCAAGGGAGAGAAAAAAAAGATTCTTCGTGTAACAAAGCATCGAATGGTTCATTGAACCGTTCCTTTCTCCGAGTGTTCGCCGAGCGATCTCGCGTCCCGGCGAACGCGTATCATCGATTACACATTGTTAAGGCGATCTACATTATGATGCCGCTCGCAGGCCATCGAGGTTGCACTTGCACTGTTGCGTGCACGCGTTTTATATTTAGTCCCCTCCCCAGCCACTTTGAAACTTTCTGCAACGTTTGGGAAACAAACAATCCGGCGGTGGGTCGCTATAAATTGCAACAACCAGCCTTCTCTACGGTATCTCTTTCGGCCGTTTCAACACCTTTTGCATCCTGTTGCACACATCCTGTTGCGGCAGGGGTGGAGGTTAATCGGAACCAGTTATCGGTGGCACATGCCGGTCAACCGCTTAACTCTTCAAGACATTGCGCTTCACAAAAGAGAAATAGTATCGCGCGAATACATCTCGACGCTCAACTATTAGCACCGATATTATTGATCTAAATAAATTTGAGTAATTGTAAATTCCTTCTTTCAAATGATAAATTCAAGAATTTTCATAAAAGACGCATAACGTGATAGCCATATACAGTGGTACGCGAATGTCGTCCAGATAGATTTCTTATCTTGAAAGCGATACTTTAAACAATTTTAACCAATATCGTACGACGTATCGTACATAGTAACGATTATTTGTTACATTGTTTTCCTTTAGTCGCCATAGTCTTCCACTCAATATCAGTTCAATTTAATTTCTAGCTTTTAAAATATAACTTATAAAGTATCCGTCTGATAACTTTTCTGCACCGTTGTGAATCAACATTAATTTCTAACACTTTGATCAAATTGAAACACTGTCGCTACAAATCGACCAATGTGCCAATTCTTACAATTAAGGTGTACACGATCATGGATCGAGCTCGTAAGTGAAACCACGTCGTTCGTTATTTTGTCAGGGCTCCAGCTGCGACGATGATTGCCGATCGCTCAACGTTCCAATCGACCATTACGAAAGTAGACGCACCGTCGTCGCGATCGTTATCGAGATATGAAACTACGAGTTTGCACGACGCTATGTTTCACATTTCGCTAACTGTGTGTTTTCTCGAGACGAAAAATTCGCGAATCGTACGAAAGCGAAACGAGATATTCCGATCTGACGTCTAGTTAAATCTTCTCGCGGTACCCATCCGGTGTATTTCCTCGTAGTTGACCTACTCCGTAAGGTTCTTCTCCGTAGAGATAGCCGGTTTTTTGCTTCTGCGTTTCCAACCGGTCGATCGAACTCGTCTCTCTTTGCAAGCACGGCTGATGGAAACAGGTGTGTCGGAAATATTTAGAAATCGCGCGAAAACCAAGCTTTCGCTGTGGCAAGGACAGGTGCTCGGGGGCTTTTCAATTTCTCCGGTGTTTCGATAAAACGATATCGAAAATCGCGTTTTCATCGATCCTCAACCGTGAGAATCTCAAAGACGATCTTCAGTGTTTAACTGTGCTGCGTTCCTTTTTAATCATTTCAGACTCGATCGTGTTTTTTACATTCGATAAATAGACTATGGATGTCTATGCAAATTCGTATTTTTGTAAATATATTTTACGTAAATGGAACTTGGGTGGAAAATTGTTTTACCTATTAAATATCGCGAAAGATTTTGAATATTCATTTTGAATATTTTATACAATTTGCATATTACGCGCATCGCCACAAATGTATAAAAGTCCGCGGTCTGTTGACAGATGTCTTAAGTTGCAGGAAAGTATAAAAGGATTCCATGGCGGAGTGTAGATCGTAATGGCGTAAATCAAGATTTTGAGAATTTGAATTTAGTCACGTATTTCAACGTTTAAAAGTACCTATCGTCCTTTTAATTTCAGAATTTCCTAGCAATATCCGTTTGCGTACTAGCTTGCAAACTTTGAAAAATCACATAGGATGTATCCCTTTTACGATAAAAAAAGAACGAAATCAATTCACGGAGTAATTCCTCCGGAATAAATTCCTCGAAAAAGTCCCTTCTTTCATCCGCTTACGTATAAGTTCGCCACTTTTTTTTTTTTTTTTTTTTTT